AATAATAATAGACAATGAAAGAATAAGATATATGCAAAAACAACCATATACAAGAACTTTCCAATACTGATGTCTACAAAACAAGTTGTCGAACTATTGGAAACAAATGCATGTAGGAAATGCGGTTTTCAATGTGCAACCTCTAATGTTCTTGTTAATGAAACGTTGATTTGGGGTAAACGAGATTTGACAGATTTTATTTGCAAACGATGTCAAATAAAAGTAAATCATTTCTCGTATGCTTACAATTTTCAACGGTATCAGGAGAATAAGATATCTTTTCATTACAGGTCCGATTGAAATGAATTAATAGAAGCAAAAATTTTGGTAATTTTAGTAGTTGATAGTAGTTTAGCTTCCACTTGATTAAATGTACATGCAATGTCTTCTGCCAAGGAAGCCTTTTTATTTTTTTTCTAAAATGCGGCAATGTCATTTTAAAAACTTCTTTTAGAGCTTCCTAAGAAACATTATTTTTATTTAGTTTGAGGGCCATAATCAATAAACTTTTGCTTTATGCTGCATTGCTTTTTGTCGTTCAATTTTTATATTTCAAACAATCTTTCTGTTAAATGGGACTAGAATAATTAGCAGATTCCCGTTTAATCTAAGTAATTAGCATAATGTGTATAGAGGGATAATTATGTATACTTTGTTAATTAATCAACGCGTTCCAGACATTTACTGAGAACTATTAACGTTGGACAGTTACACATGCATGTATATTCAAAGCTTCATCTCGTCATATAAGCAAGCGAGAGTAATACAGACATGTTAGAGGCAGCTGTAACTTCAACAGTTTTTTTATTAATTACTAAATCCGAGAAACATAATATTTTCTATTTCTAAAATAAAGAATTCGTCGATCTGTGTATTCGTCTGCAAAGGTTTTAGTCATCACTAACTACATTTTCTAAAGCTTAATTGCCGCCTGTGAAATATCACCTGATCAGATTTTTAACTGCTGTTGCAAAATATTATTTTGAATTTCTTAATGATTACGTTTTAAGAACGATTTTAAAAAAGGATAGTCATGTCAAAAGGGTACAAGATTACTTTAATATCGATTTCAATTACATATACTTGTAGGCATTGAATACAGCTATATTGTATCTGGCGGTCGACATATTTTGGCCATCTGGCACAAGAAAGCACAGCACACAGCGCTGTCATTTGAATGTAGATTGCATATTTTGTGCTTCACAAGTTAACAATCAGCATGGCATGTTTTGTTTTTACATCAATAATGCTCCCGCAACCCAGATGTAAATATCTTTTCCTGTTCGTATCGCCATCTGTTGCTATTTAACGTTATATTTTCCCCTCGATAGAAAGCAGTCATATTTCAATAAATTTCCCAAGTCATAAGCAGTTTACTACCACAAATATGACGTGATCTGGAAGCAAAGAGGAATATTAAGAGTTCTGCCATTATGGAACGTTGTTTAATGTAATTCTGCCAGGAAACTGTTACCAAGTGTTCAAAATATTTTTATTGTTCGACTGTCTGTGCTAGTTGTTTGAACATTTTATTATAACGTTGCAGATGTAGAGGAGTTCATGTGAAAAGTAAACCGGATGCCAACAAATCAAAGGCAAGAAAACAAGAAAATATTTATAAAGAAGGTAAGGGAATTTTGTATTATTAAAATAAAAAGAAAAGTAAAAAATTTTAAATCTAAAAAAAAAAAAAAAAAACAAAAAAACAAAAAAACACGCGGTGCTTTCACAAAAGAAAAAGAAAGAAAACGTTTTGTTCTGGTTCGAGAGTTTGTTGCACGTCGTGTTCAGGGGAAGTATATTGATTTTTGAGATCTTCGTTGAATACCTTGATTTGTGTGTATTGATTAAATTTGCATCATGACCTGCTTCAATGGACGTAGAACTACTTAATTGTTATTTCACATCATCTCGCTATCGTTGAAAATGTTGCCCCCAGAGTTCTACAAAAATGCATTAATTCTGAAGTCATCAAGAATCGATAGATTTTTTTCTATCTAATTCCCCACAGAATCAAAATTACATATAATTCCAACGTTAATATGACAATCCGCAGCTAATGTAAAGAAGAGCTGCTTATTCTAAAGCATAAATCTTCAAATATAGACTCTAATATTGAGAACCTATTAAATGTCCATCTTTCCTTAATCATGTTATAAGAACACAATTTCTCTAAGCAACTACTGAACAGAAACATTTATCCGTTAATCACATATTTTAAAGAATAGTAAAAGAAGCCTTGACGATTCAATGAGAATGTGCGCGTATCTTTTCGCGTGTCCGACCAGAATAATCCGAAGAATGAGGCACAGTTGCCAGCGATAACGAATCGATCTCATTGTATAGTTTTTAATATCTCTCTGATCGAATGAACATGTTCATCAATTAACGTATCCACATAATAGATTAATCAAAGGTCGGTATCGATCAATATAAGTTTTACAGAGTTCCCAGTCTTATATTGGACGCTACTTATTTAATAGATCCCAGATATTTAACTGTTCAAAGGCCTGTTGTACAAAAAAGGTGTGACTATAGTTTTATTTGTGATTTGTGTAAGAGGTCAAGGATTAATTTGATTTTGACAAATCAACGCCTTTGACACAATAATGTATTGTCAAAAGTAGCCTTAGTTTGATAGATATAAGGACAGTACGGCTGTAGCCGTTATATATGATGAGTATCCCGGTGAAGGTGAGTTAATAATTGCAGTGTGATATTAAAGGGATTATATTAATATTACAGAAAATACTAAATTGTAATAGAAAAAAAAATACTACAGTATAGTGAATTAGAAAATAAAGACGGTGTTATGTAACAGAATATACGAAATATTGAATATAAAAGAAAATGCTTCGTTGTAATATAACGACAAATGAAGTGGTGTTATATAATAGAAAATATACAATGTATCTACCAAGTTGTAGAAATTATTTGCTCTATAGTTTTCTTTCTTGATTTATATTAATATATTTCAGCAGTAAACGAATGGATCATTATTTCCCACATATAAAACGGCCTAATTGAATGTAATTTTCTTTTCTTAATTATTTGTAGAAGAAATTTCTTTTTGAAAATTACAAATTTCACCAGAGAACATATCGCTATTTTTATTCCCATGAAATCCTAACTCGGCTTAATTTTCGAATCTGAGTAATATTTTTAGATTTATAAAAGTGCTTGTAAGATTTTTCATTGTGAACAAATGACTGTTTTTTCTTCTTAAAGAAGATTTGGTTTGTTCACTTACTTGTTATTTGATATCTTCTAAAAACAACTTTGACTACGTTAGCACAAAGCTGAGATTTAATCCCGTAATGCTTTCAAACTTCTCAAATCTTAATTGAATTCAAATCAACCATAAATCGTGAAGGACAACTAATCGTGCAGAAGAATACACATTCTTAAGAAAGACATCTGACAAGATAGTAAACACGTCGTATATTTTCTTTTGGTTTACTCCAAATTTGTGTAAATTTGCTATGGTCTTCAACTCGACAATTCGATTGTGTATATTGACGGCTTTTTATATATTTTCGGAGAGTAAAATTTTCGTGGTTTGAGCAAAAAATATGATAAGTGACTTATGATTGGTATGAAAAACTTTGGTCAGCATGTAGTTGTTATGTTAGCTTTTTACGTTGTCTTTCGTCACATTTTGATATAGCATTTACAAATATTTAGACGAAATTAGACATCAAGTCAAAATAGTTTTCTATAAAATTGTAACGTGCGGATACGCTAACTGGACTGTCTTCAACAAGTCAAGAACTCCATTGAAAGTTTATAAATTTATTTAACAGGAAACAAAACAATACTGTTCAACATTTCACAAAATCTCTGGTGTTTCACAAACTCATAAAAAAAAACCTCTATAACTGGAGTCTTATCCAGTAATTAAATAATTCATGTGCAAGTCTAACTCTCTTAGACCTATTAAAATCCCAAGTTTAATCCTAAACTGGTAATAAACCAGTAATCATGAAAATCCACACCAGTAATATACTGGTAAATAAATATTATTCAATCTCTGAATAAAGTTTTCCCCCACACCACTTAATCAAATTATTTAACCCAAAAAAAACTAAATTAAACACACACCTTTACACTGGTGTAATCTACTGTCTGTAATCTAATCTCTGTCTACTCTGCTGTCTGCAACTCTCGTTCTTACTATATATACGTCATAAAATACTACGAAATGACGTAGAATACGATAACCAATCAGAAACATCGCGCACCTGATCATCAACCAATCACAGGCGATACGCGATAACCTTATTCCCACGACTACAAAAAGTTGTACACATGTTTCACCATAAAATAGAAACAAGTAATATATTATAACTACTTTATAAACAAAATAAATTTCGTAATAATTAAAGAAGATTGACATACAATTAATTAAATAAATCGCCGCTTACAACTTTTAACATTTTAAGAAAAATGCATTCTGGGAAACCGCACTTCCGGAATAACAAACCATGCGGCGAAAGAGAAAACATACCAGGTAACAATTTACCGAATAATCGCTAAACAATCACCGTTTTAATTATGTGATCATGTGTACAATATAGGAAGCTATAGATAACAATTAATTTAACATCATAACAACATTAAAATCTCGAAAAGCAAACAAAATAACGTATGCGGCAATACACATCGTCTGACAGAATTCGGGGGCCGTATCAAAACACAATGCACTAAAGAAAAATGTAATCAAGTAATACGGTTAAAACTTCGTGATTATAATATCACTGTCACTCTATTTGTCACATTTTGCCCCCTGTTAAAATTGTCCAAGTCCCTTTGGACTTATTTTACAACAATAAAAAAAAATGTCAACAATGCAAGAATGAAAAGATGATCACAAATCAAGATGAAAGTGTGATGTAACAATATATGGAAGGATGATTCTATAACAACAATGCAAATATGAAAATATGACAACAATGCATGAAAACATGACAACGTAAGTATAAAAATATAACATCATGTAAATATGTGCATCTGTACTTGCACATAAATGCTAACAACTGATAACAATGTACTTTGCTAATGCTAATAATTTAGAGACAAAGGTACATAAGCATAACTATAATTAGTTACTCAAGTAACATATCCTAATCTTCCTTGATTTCATTTACAGAGTTAATCAGAACAGAGGATACCGATGGACACAATTCATGTTACTAATCTTAAGCTCTCATGAAAAATAATTAAGGTAAGTATACACAGATCAATTTCTCAAGTTACTGTCTTCAAAGATAATTAGATTCATAAATAAATTACCAATTCCAATGAAAGTCATTCAACAAAGACATCAAGTAAAATATGAATTCTCAATCATTCAAAATGATTGTAATTGCTCAAAATACATTCAAGTACTCCAACTTATTACTTCAGACACTCTCAAGTATATACAATGTACATACATCAAACTATCATTACAATTATAACATATGGTAATATGATAACATACAAATTCAAGCAAAATAAACCACCAATGCTCGAAGTTACAATGAAAAATACACAGAAAGTCCACCACCCATCCCAATCCTAACCTTACTTCCCAATTATCAATAAAAGAAATATTATAACAAGTTAACTTATCTGAGGGGAAATATACTTAGCACAAAGTTAATGTCCATTTTTACTCTTTCTTTCAGGCTTGAAAAGGTTCTCAAGGGGAGATGGTCTTCGGTACGGCTCTGGTTTCCTTGCTGATGGTCTTCTGGGCATTTGATAAACAACTGATTTCATTCTGGGAGGTGGCGGAGACTTCTTCCGATAGGATATATTCAGGCGTTCACCTTCCTCTGGTCCATGATGCACAGACCTCATCTCCTCGGTACGGGCAAACCACACAATTCCACACTCTGCCTCTTCTGCCGTCTATGGGCATCAACGACATCCTGCAAGTTGATAAAGGGTAATACTCTGCAATAGGAACATGGAATTTACCATGTAATTTATATTAAAAATAATATGACATTATTATATACAAAAATAGCTATACTTTCTTAATAGCTATAAAATTCTAATCAGAAGAATACCCCATTTATTTAAACCAATAGTTAGACTTGCATCATGTAAATATGAACATGATAAACAACAACTCTCTTGTTGTATTCATAATAGATTATTTTATTTGTTATTTGTAGGCTGCAAAGGCATGACAGAGAATAACAAAAATGGTAAGTCTAATTTTGATTTCTTCTCATCTCCATAGCAACTTTCTGGATCCATTTGGGCGGGTCATCACCTCGATATGGCAGCAACTTGTTGTGGTTGACAACTCGACTTTCTCCTCTGGCGTCAAGCTGAAGCTTGAAAACTAAGTCAGAATAAACTTCTGTAACAATGCAAGGTCCTACATAAACTTGTTTAAATTTTGGACATTCATTTTCTCCAAGTTTTTCATTTAAGAGCCAAACAAAATCTGTATAATTCTTTAGCAAGGTTAGCAAGGTTTTTGCCTCTCCTTTGGACATGTTCCTTACAGACTTCTCATACAGATCTGTCAAGTGTGCTAAAGATTCCTCTTCAGTTTGACCTTCCAACCCCTCTCCATTTTCAGCTACTCTTCTGACATCGTTTTTATCAGCTACATGTAAACCCAATCTTGATACCTCCAAACAGACCTCAGCAGTTCCCAGAACTGTATCTTGGTACAATGTTTTTGCTTCTTCCAGAGGATTCATGATTCTCAAGGGTACTGTAACTTTCCTAACAATATCAATCGCTGCTGGCGCCACAAGCAATGAAGATTTAGCTGTAAATTCTGGTGAAGATTCAAAAAGGAACAATTTTTCTTGATCTTCTTCATGATTGCGTTCAACAAATGCCTGAATCAGCATTTCGCTCATAGGGGGTATAGTGTATTGGTCAGCTGATCTAAGAGTCAATTTCGATTCATCATCATTTCAAATGCATGGAATTTCATGTCCATAAAATTTTATAATTTTTCTGTCCAGATGAATTTCGGCTTTACTTTCTTCGTCCATTAAAATGTCCATTCCAAGCAGAGCATCGTCTTCTATGTCTGCTACCAGAAGTTGTTTCTCTATTCTTACTTCTCCAATTTGAATTTCAAAGGATCCATACCCATAAACAGGTATATTTGCCCCACCTGCACCTCGGAGTTGAGAATTTCCTATCAACAAAGGTTTTTTATCATCCTTTAATTTCTTGTAAACTCTGTGAGACAGAATACTGGTGGAAGCTCCAGTATCTGTAGTAAAATGAACAAAATACCCATTCACCGTTCCCTCTAGATAAATTCCTGTTGTATTTGGTAATCTGTTTAATTTTGTAGTTGAATCTAGTTTTTCTTCTTTTGTAGAGTCTCTACTGTCCGTCTGTCGGTCCTCAGTAGTAATCTTTGTAGCCATCCCTCAACCCTCAGAAATGGCTAATGGCCATTTAAAGGATGGGGTCTAACAACAGGCTGTTGAGTCTGGTTGTGCGTTATTTTCAGGGGACATTCCCGTGCATAGTGTCCATTTTGTTTACAGCAGTAACAGACAATAGTAGGTATTCTTTTGTCACCATTTTCGACTTTCATGTGGTTTGTCACTTGCTGTAGTTCGTTGGTCCTGTTATCTGCTAAAATTTCAGTCTCCTCTTTTGTGCCATATTTCTGCTTGTAAAACTCTAACTCCTTGCTTAACTTTTGCAGCTGTACTTCCAAGTCATTATTTCTTTGTTGTTCTTCTGTCTGTTTTGCTGTACTTTTGATCTGACCTCCCTTTGGAAACTTCTTAAAGGCCTCACTTCTGGCTTCAGTTTTCTGTTCTTTGATTTGTCTCACAGCTTTCTGCTTGTTTTTCTGTGCTCGACCAGTCCCTTCGAAATTTACTACTTGTAGGACGGCCTCGTCTATATTCTCTGGTTCTTTGACATATTCGACATGAAACTGGGCATCGCCGTCTGCTAGACCATCTAAGAATCTTCGTAATAGATCTTCTTCTCGCGTCTCGGAGTTTCTCTTGGGGTGTGCTTTGTCATACAATCGTTTTAATTCAGCGGCGTAATCCTCCACTCTCTCTCCAGGTTTTTGTTGCCGCTTACTAAACTTGGATATAAAGGTCTTTCTAGTTTCGACAACCCGAAACCTGTTGTTTAATTCCTCCGTCAGTTTCCTATAGTTTCTTCGAGTAGATTTGGTTAGTTGGCCATAAACAAATTCGGCTGCTACCCCATGAAAACGTGGCAATAACTCGTCAAGTTTTCGTTTTTCACCCCATCTCTTCCTTTCTGCGATCTCCTCAAATCTTGCGTACCAAATTTTCCAATCTTCTTTGCCATTAAAGGGAGGTAACTTTACTCTGGAATCTCTGGATTTGGTTTCATGAAAGACGACTGAAGATCTAGCATCACTGGACTCTGTATCTTCCAGGTCTGAGTCAGAATTGTCTTCATACTGAAATTTGTTGGTCGCTGGCCTAGCATGCTGCATTTTGGCTGACAGTTTCTGTACTGCTTTTTCCACCTCGGCCTGAATTAGCTGGGCAATGTTAGAGGGTTGCAACACATTATCATTATGGATCTGCAACGGAGCATCATTAGGTGGCGCCAGATAGTTTTGAAAACCATGACTGGTGTTGTTGTTTTGAGCACCATTTTGACTTCTTCCAAAGGCACAGCTTGTGGCAGAGGCGTTCTGGACCGCGTAAGATGATGGGTAATTAGAAGGGAAACCCATACTTGAAACAATAGGTATATTACCTAAAGATGTAGGAACAGGAATATGACCTGTACAAGCAGCAGGTAGAGTACTGACTGATGAGGAAACTGGTAAAAACTGACCAGTATGAGATATGACAGGTACATAACCTGTATTGTGTGTACTGGGCATTGTATTGACTGGTCCTAATGTGCCAACATTACAATAAGGTTTTGAACTAGTTGGTACATGCCCTGACTGAATTGTGTGCAGTGGCTCTTGACAATGCATGAAAGTACTTCTGGTCATTGAAGGGCTATGATTGTGAGGTACAGAATTTGCAGTTGAGAATGTTGTCAAGTAACCAGTGTTGCAGTTTTGTAAATGATCTGGCAGTGTGCTGCTTAAGTCAACTAAAGGTGAAGCTGCTGGACCTTGAGTACCTGACAAAAATAATGGTGGCCTAGCACTTACTTCATGTGAAAATAGGGAGTGCACTGAGCCGTTACCCTTATATACATTTGTCAAAGAGCTAGGAGTAGGAGCTCTAGTATGTGTGCTGGGTACCTGTATTACATCAGTAAAACTTACTGGTGTAAACGAGCTTTTGGATGTTACAGGTACATCACCTGAATTGTGTTGCAAAAGGGTATGTACTAAACATGTATGATCTGCAGCAGGTAATTTACCTGCATTAGTTGCAAAAATTTCGGACTCTACATTTGTTTGTGGAGTAGAACTTGTCAGTCTTGTGCTAATGTTTGTGTTATTAGCAGGTGTTTCAATCCGTTTTCTTTCTTCTTTTTCAGACTGGACAGATTGAGATGCGTCAGAATTGTAGTCTCTACCCACCAGCACATCCTCTTCAATGTGTCTGCTTACAGGAGATTCCAAATCTCGACTTCTTCTTGCCGCGCGACTACGAGCTTTTCTCTTAGAACCCATGACATAAAGTTACTTTGTAAACAAGTAAAATAACTTGTACATAAAACACCAAGATGATGCAAGTAAACAGTATTGTATACCAAATGTTTTTTTTTTCTTTTAAATAACCTGTAACTTACAGGTACATGAAAAACTTCTTTTTTTTAGAGGTACAGAATTCAATCACTGGATCTGTAAATTTTACAGATCCCGCCGTGGATGCCAAAATTGTAACGTGCGGATACGCTAACTGGACTGTCTTCAACAAGTCAAGAACTCCATTGAAAGTTTATAAATTTATTTAACAGGAAACAAAACAATACTGTTCAACATTTCACAAAATCTCTGGTGTTTCACAAACTCATAAAAAAAAACCTCTATAACTGGAGTCTTATCCAGTAATTAAATAATTCATGTGCAAGTCTAACTCTCTTAGACCTATTAAAATCCCAAGTTTAATCCTAAACTGGTAATAAACCAGTAATCATGAAAATCCACACCAGTAATATACTGGTAAATAAATATTATTCAATCTCTGAATAAAGTTTTCCCCCACACCACTTAATCAAATTATTTAACCCAAAAAAAACTAAATTAAACACACACCTTTACACTGGTGTAATCTACTGTCTGTAATCTAATCTCTGTCTACTCTGCTGTCTGCAACTCTCGTTCTTACTATATATACGTCATAAAATACTACGAAATGACGTAAAATACGATAACCAATCAGAAACATCGCGCACCTGATCAACAACCAATCACAGGCGATACGCGATAACCTTATTCCCACGACTACAAAAAGTTGTACACATGTTCCACCATAAAATAGAAACAAGTAATATATTATAACTACTTTATAAACAAAATAAATTTCGTAATAATTAAAGAAGATTGACATACAATTAATTAAATAAATCGCCGCTTACAACTTTTAACATTTTAAGAAAAATGCATTCTGGGAAACCGCACTTCCGGAATAACAAACCATGCGGCGAAAGAGAAAACATACCAGGTAACAATTTACCGAATAATCGCTAAACAATCACCGTTTTAATTATGTGATCATGTATACAATATAGGAAGCTATAGATAACAATTAATTTAACATCATAACAACATTAAAATCTCGAAAAGCAAACAAAATAACGTATGCGGCAATACACATCGTCTGACAGAATTCGGGGGTCGTATCAAAACACAATGCACTAAAGAAAAATGTAATCAAGTAATACGGTTAAAACTTCGTGATTATAATATCACTGTCACTCTATTTGTCACAAAAATCATTTGCACATTTAAAAGAATGACAGTTTATTTATATGTTAAATTGTCATTTTTTTTAATATTAAGAAAATGTATAACATTTTAGCAAATAGTATCGCATAATTATGTTCCAATGAAATATACTTATCAAAAAAATACGGGAGAATATAATTTACCAGAAAATAACAAAACAAATAGCAGATATTATATTTTTTGTTCACATTTTCATAGTTTTTTCATGAGTATTTTTTATACAAGTATTTAAATGTTTATATTAATTCAAACCGACGGATCTTGAAGATGAAATATATTACTCACTGCGATAAATGTGTAAAACGTATAAATAGATCATGTTTTTGTTCACGTAGATGAGAATTCATTGTTAAATTCATTTATTGTAACTTCTTTCCTGCTTATGCTCAAAATGTGTTTTGAAGTTTTATACTTGTAAATCTTTACAAAGACGAAAAAGTAGATTTTAGTTAAGCCTTGCACCCTCTTTCACCCTTTCGACTATTAGACTCTAGTCATATACAATGTAATTATTAAAATTCCCACTGAGGATGGCTAAAGTTAATATAGTCAATCCCAAGAATTATCCATCAACAAATTCGACTTCTTAGGAACCATTTATTTTTGGAATTTGGAAGTTCTCCCAATCTTCAAATATAATGAGTTTTTGTTATGTTTAATTAAGCTTATAAAAGTACTTTTAGACCACTTTTAAATGATTCCTAGCGCACATGATTCATTATATCGAAAACAAAAAAACTTTGATAAACATTCGAAACAAATACCAATATTTACTAAAGATTTTACAAATGACCAACGCAAAAAAACCCAACCCCTAGAAACTTTCGCTTTTTTGTTTTTATGGGTCATTTGTATCGATTTTTGCCATTTTCTCATCGAAAAAGCTGATCCCTAATATTTGATTCTCACGTTATCGTATTAGCTTAACGACCGTTTCTTCCTCAGATGATTATCGTTTTGGTTAACCTTGCCAAACATCGACCAAATATAGTTAACGGTTTGAGGACATTAAATTGGATCACGGTTCTCGACTTCATTAATGAATTACATGTAGTTGTTACGTCAGTCTTATACATTGACTTCCTTGACATTTTTTTATCTTACCTCTATCATCTCTATGTTCTCTGATGTTAAACATTCATGTTCTAGCGCTTATAAGAATCAAGTATTAAAAACTTCTATTAAATTTTATGTATGAAACAGTGATGAAACAGCAACGAAGTTGTGCATATCTATTTTTTTAATTAATACGTTGTAGAGACTTTGATCGCTTGATAGAAAATACTAGTACTTCTTATTCCAGTCTTATAATAATGAAGTTTTACTTGCACATTTTTCATCAATATTTTACCTTATTAATTTAGTTTAATGAAATTATAATGATGAACTGATGTGATGATTTTTAAACAATTATTGAGATCAATCTTAAAGTTCACGAATAATTTTTTCCTGTCTAAAATTAATGTCAAGAGGATACTTGTTCAGTATGGTTAGTCAATTATTTCATGAACTGCACCTAGTCACCAGGGTAGAAGAGAATTCTTTTGATCTAATTAATATGTTAAAACTGAAAAACATTTAATCGTCACTGAACTTGTTAAATCATGCATTATTGTACATGCTTGACTTAATTAACTGCAAAAGTATGATGATATAGCATTGCAAAATGATATAGGACATCAACCAAGTTTTTGCTATATGCCAGAAAACTAAATGATGTATTTAAATTGTGTTTCAACCAATAGATTGTTAACTTTAATTGTATATACTGCTAGAAATCGTTTCCTTTTATAATATGCAAAAACAGATATTTTCGTGATAAATGTGGATGTTTAGAAATAAAACTGAGAGATACTAATACTTCTATGGAAACAATCCTTTTGCTTGACTAATATCGATTACATAAACAAGCCTGTATTTTGTGGTTGTTCTCAACTCTTCTTTTTTAAAGCTGAGTACGTAATTTAAGTATAAAAAGATTATTATTTAATGAAAATAAGAAAAATTGAGTCTCTGATTACCCTTTTAGTATAAATTTTATACAATCATATAAGACATTTTAAAATGTCAAAAATAACAATTGCACATTTGTAAGATAATTTAAACTCATAAAATTACATGAGAAATGTTGCATGAACATGATGAATGGGAAATTAAGAGTTTCATGTCAAATTATATTCATTGGCAACAATTGAAACTTATGAAAATTGTCATAATTTGGCAATTATTCCTGATGTTACAGAAATTACTTATAATGATGCTGCAATAGTAAGATTAGATGTGGAAAATTACATCAAAACTGTACCATTTATAATACTCGTATTTTGGATAACATTTAAAATACTTAAGGTGAACAAATTGCTCAGATGTTAAACAAGGTAAAGTTTTATTCACCCTATGCCGTTGAATATATGGAGATAACAACAGTATTCAAGCTCAAAAGTCCATAAAACACCGAAAAAAAAATTAGGAGCAGAGCAAACACGGAATTCCAAAATATCAAAGGTGGGATCAGGTGCCATGGAGGAGTGAAGATCCTCTAACGACCGATCACACCCGCCATGTGCTCTTTGTTATGATCTGATCGGGAAATAATGGAAAATCCGTCGTCAAAAGTGTGTAAATAATGGACTAACAATTAGTATGAACACGTTTGTTTGACTCAGTGATAAATTGTATTACTGACAAGGTCATTGTATCGACCGTATAAGGTTCCATTCAAAGTCTCGACAAGATTTGACTTTTGCATGTACGAAGAGAGACTTCAATGGTTATATTGTCCGCTGCTAGATCCTTTTTTCTCCTCAAATCTACATTTAGCTTTATATCTTATATAGGGTTGATATAATGAGTTCTTTTTTATCATTTTATTTTTCTGAAACTTTTCAAAATGATAATGAATGCGTTTTAATGGAATTTTTCAGAAATGCGGTTGTTAGAATTTTACCCGGTAAGTGCTTTGGATTTGTACATGTAATAATAATATACCTCTTGGTCCAGACAATTTATTTGCTGAAAGTTAAAGAAACCAAGAGAATTTTTATAAGTATATAAAGGAAATTGATCTTCTGTAATTGAAAACATTTTGATCATATGTGGCAGTTAGTATAATATAACCAAATTTACTGGAACATGTGGCAGAGATATACATGTAATAATTTTTTAACGCAACAGGTCCACTGCCAAAATGCATGCATTGAAATTTATGTCTTCGTGGAAGTTATTTTGACTCAACTAATGGGACGTTACTGAAACTGTCAGTTATTTTACAGTTAGTGTCTTTTGCCACTGTCAGTTATTTTACAGTTAATGTCTATTTTGACATTTGGTTAACAAAAGCATAATAAACATCTGCAACTGTAAGAGAAGAGTAATTACTTTCGTAACATGGGCTCTTAACACTTATCATGTATTTCAAACATGGTAATAAGACATTTGATATATACCAGAAGTGTTAAATCTTGGAAGCATGCATCTTACATTAATTACAAATGCATATCTCAGGTTATAAATTATGTGTTCATATTACTATTTGTGTCACTGATTTCACTTGTTTATAAAATGAAATTTTACGTGAAAACAACTAAAACGACAAATCTGAAGCTAAAGTTAATTGTTTTTAGTTTTTACATATTTCACAATACATATATATTTTGTTGCCTTTTATACTATAAAAAACACATTACTAAACTGCAATTGCTTCAAATGGTAATGAATAGCATTCTTTGTATTTTTGAACCTGAATCCCTTATTAGGAAAAAACACGAAATCCATAACTACTACATGACAAATATATCGGGTTATTAGTTTCTTAATGACCACCATTAAAGGATACTGAGGGATCCAGTCCTATTATTGATGAAATTAATGAGTCTCGATAGAACACTTGAGAAGGCTCGGGTTTGAGAGAAGACCACGAGGACCAACCAAAGACCCTTAAGCCGTCTTCTTCTAAACCTTTGGCCAACAGCTTTTCGTGATCGTTCAAATAAAAGAGGTTTTATCTTACTCAGTGCGATTTCATGTCAAATTAATGAGAAGATTCTTCAAACAAATACGGCC